CGCCCGACTGCAACGTTCTTACTTGTTTATTAATAGGTGGCTATTGAACGTGCATTTTCCAGACTTAAACTGGCTTTAACCGATTATCGCAATCGTTTAAGTGCAGAGTCGCTGGAAAATATATTGCTTGTGAAGCTCAATCCTAGCTTCCTAGAAACAGCAATTGACAACCTGCCGCTCTTCAAAGAAGATGACGAATAAAAAAATAAATAATCGCCATTATAAATAAATAATTAAAATGTCATTTCGTTCATGACGCACAAAGCAAAGCAAAAATTGTGGAAGTTGTTTGCTGTGCTGTTCGGCAGTCGACAGTTTTTGCTCTAGCTGCGACTGCGACTGTCGCCAGTGAACGCAGTTCGAAGCGCTGCGCTGCTGATCAATAATTGTTTTTTGCTGCGACTGCGACTGTCGCCAGTTCACGCATCAACAGCATTCTCGAAACTGCCGAAGCTGTCGATTCCCGAAGCGCTGCGCTGCTGATCAAGAAATGTTTTTGCTTTTGCTGCGACTGTGACTGTCGAAAATGCTCGCAGCAACAGTTCTAGCAATAACAGAACTGTGAAAAAAGTTCGCAGTTTTTTAAACACTGGATTTAACTAGATGCGGTGCATCAAATATCGCAAACATTTTTTCACCATTAACCTCAAAGCTATGATTGTTTAAATCAATACCTCATCTATTAAACACTGCTCTATTATTGGATCCCTGATCGCAAACAACGGCTTTGACATGAACATGAACTTACAGGGGAGTCTCAAATTAAGAACATCCCTATGGTAATCATAGGCTCCGGCTGAATAAAAATAAATTTCAGCGCTATTATAAACCCGTTTTTTTTTTTAAAAGCATTTTACAAGAGACCTTTGATTGGTCTGAAGTTATTAATTCGTTCATAAGAACACATGATGGCTCGGGCGTTACACAAGCCAAAATGCATTACCTTGAATTGGTAGAGAGGCTTGCCAGGAATGGTTAACGCCGTTAATGGCCTTGCCTCTTTGGTCAGTTCAATTTGCCAAAAAGCATCGTTTAAATCGAGCTAGGAGATATAATTTGCTTTTGGCATATGCTAAAATATACCTTCTATCGCCGGTAAAGGGTAAGCCCTTTTTGGTTGCTTCATTTAGTTTACGCGCATCTAAGTATATCCGAATTTTATTGGGTTTCAGAGCTCCAGGCACGAATAGAAGGTTCTATGATGTCAAGGGCTCGCATTCGCTCAATTTCCTTATACTAGAGCATTTCAACTGCCGGACTGGCTGGATAAAAACGCTGTTTAACTGGCCGTTTTTCTTGACAATTAGGGAAAAGATTCTAAATCGGTCAAGGTTGAGGAGCTGGCGTGAATTCCTTCCAAAAATCTATACCCAATATTAATCATTACTTGATTGATGATGAATTGGGGCGTTAAGTTCACCAACCACACCATGAGCTTTCGCATCTGCAATCGGCACTTGGGATCTAAGTGATTTAAACTCAGAATAGTTTGTGAAGTTTTCTAGAGCTAGCGAGGATGTAATACAGCTAACCAGAGAACTGCAATTGTGTCAATTTTTGCCACCTTACTCAAAGTCAATAAAATTTGTGTGCCAGTGTCACTCATTACTGGGTCAGCAAATCATAAACCCACACTTTAAAAAAATTGTGTGAGTGTAACGCATGCAGGCAATATCTTGCTGTCTCTTACAACAATGTACCGTTTTCTTTTTGCTTGTCACCCAAATATTTTTCGTCAACGCTTGCCGGTCGCACTTACATTTACAGCGAACGTAAAATAAGAAGCGAAAGTGTGAAAAGAGCAATGGGCAATAAATACAAGTAGACAAATCACATGTATGTCACCCAAGTGTTTTACGGGGACCATGGTGTGTGTGTTAAAGTAACGGTTGTTTTGATTTTGCACTAGCTTCCAAGTTTATTTCGCGTTTCATTTTGCTAATTCAATGAATGCACTGAAGCATAATAATGTTTATTTAATATATTAAATGAATGTAAAACAAGTAAGAAAGCTCTAGTCGAGACTGCTCGACTACGAGATCCCCTGAACCCTTGGAGCAATAGATATTTCAATAATTTTTCGCGTCTTTCAGCTTACACAAGAAACACGCACACACACACACACAGGCATACATACACACACACGCATACAGACACACATACACACACACACACGCATACATACACAAACGCATACACACACACATACACATACACACACACATACACAAACACATACACACACA